GACACAATATTATTAACCAGAGTCAATACTTCAAACTGTACCCTGGTGACTTCGTCCCACGCATCTTTGGATTTCCTTAGGTTCATAAGATGGGGGCTCCTCTTAGACTCATAAACAGCAGCATTAATTTATCTATCTATCTAATACATCTATCTAATGTATTAGCACCACTGGTCGGGAACACGCCACATCACATAAAAAAAAATCTTTGGACTTGAACTGGAACCAAATGAGACAACGGTTTGTCGTCACTTGACTTTTTACTTGCAGTCCCACTTCTGATGCCATCAAGATGACCGAAAACACTTGCTAAAAACACAACTTCAGCTGGGAGAACCACCTTAACTGCAGACTGGATTTGCACACTCCTAGACCTCTGCTTTAAAGACTTGTGGCTACCACGGCTAGGCCTTCTTCAAGGCCACCAGAACGAACAAGAAGAACAGAGAGAATGGTAGCAAACGGAACAACATTGTCATTTCTTATGTTGCCGGGAACCTCCGAAAAACATAGGAGAATTTTTAACCATCACCAAATTCCTGAACAAACCCATCAACCTTTCATCCACCTATAACGTCGTCCTGAGTTCTCTTCAACCCTCTCCCTGAAAACAAGAACACCGTTTCATTTCAAAGGACACCCAGACAAAAGTGTTGCTCGGGGGAAACTATACTGTAAGTCCGTAGCTATGGTACCACTCGCGATTCACACCTCTAACCTTGTGACCTTGCATTCTGCCCTCCTTAGAATAAGGTGTGTTTCACCACACCTCCATCCTCCCTTTCTGCAACGACCCTCGTTGTGGGTATGCAGTCCGTTTGAGGCTAAACACCAGAATTTCCCAGTAGTCAGTCCGAACTGAAGAAGCCTCTTGCATAAGAGGTGAAACGTCTTAAAAAAAAAAACCCCAAAAAAACCCTATTTTGTCCAGTTGCCCTCGATGTAACTATTTTTGAATCTGATTATTCTTCACAAGTTCATTTAACTTTTTGACAGCTGTTTTGACAGCCCTAATATAAACATAAAGATTTGTTTCCAACCATCGCTCTGCTACAAATGAGCTAACGAAACAACACTGCAAAACAAAACCACAGTCTCCTCAAGGTGACGTTCTGCTGATGCAAAAGTGAACACGTCGGCTACAGCTGGTGCTCAGAGCAGTGTTCCTCACAGGAGACTCTGCCATGCCCCGTGCTTGGTGTAATTGTGGAACCTCGGCTGATCATTCTGTCTGTGATCTAATGATACTGACACCATAAACAAAGCACCGATGCTGCATCATGCTAACATTAATGTTTTATGCGCTCATTTTTCTCTCTTGACACGACGTGGACTCCGTGATACAATTATACTCTAATGGTTCACTAGACAGAGGCACAGGCTTTATCATCTGACGTGCTTCCTGGAAATGGACCTCACGGAAGTCCACGAGCTCCGCTATCACAGCCGCGATGGGGTAAAATATTAAAATTGAATAATGGATGCATTTTAGCTGATGCAAATGCTGACAAGATATTGTGTTTGATACATCGGTTGATTTAAAAAAAAAAAATCCTCACGACAAAATAAGTAATGTCAACAAAACCAACATGCTCCGAATCTAGTTTTCGACATAATTTCACACCAGGTTAGTCTGGTGCTTGATATTTATTGATTGAGGTGGAACGAGCCTGAAATGCAGCCCCGGTGCCCTTGAGCAGGGAAAATAACACTGATGGACAGAAAGAGGTGAGGGGAGCTAAATTTATCTGATTGAGAGGAGAAATGCACCAGTTTCTCCCCAGAGAGAGTCCTGCGCCTCCATCTGCACCGCCAGCTGCTCATCTTTCAAATCCAGCAAACTCTTCACCACCTGCAGAAAAAAAAACAACCCAAACAATTTTTACCAGTCGTCTGTGTCTCCTGTCACTTCACGCTGTTTTTTAACAGAAGAACGCAGACACAGATGTTGACAGCTGGAAAAAAATACCCATAAATCCTCTACTGTAGTGGTTTAAATTAAATGGAGGATTTGATCAAAATGCAGAAGGTCTGGAACTAAATTATGGCTAAATCATAATTTAATTATGATTAAATTATTTGTTATGTTATGTTATATATGTTACATATATATAACAATATGTATAATGTATATGTATATATGTGTATATACGTATGTATATGTATATATGTATATATATAATATACAGTATATGTATATAATATACATGATATATATACATATATATAATATACATGATATATATATGTGTGTATATATATATATATATATAAGTATATATATATATATATATACATATACACGCAATAATAAGATACAATAAGTCCATTTTCTCATTCTTTTTCATGCAAAGAAGTATTATATATTTATTACATTATATATGTATATATATATACATATATACATATGTATATCGGAATGGGAAGTAATATATATATACAAATATAACATAATATATATGTAACATGTTATGTTATCTTATATGTTATGTTATGTTATATATGTTGTTACGATATATTATGTTATCTAATAATAATGTTATTATTATTATTAGACATAATTATTGTCTTTTGTTGTACAGAACAAACTGTGGTTAAAACTAGGGCTGTCCAATAATATCGGCCGATATTAGCATATTTTGTAACATTTGTAAGAATCTTTATCAGTTTTTCCTCCGATATTGAAAACCCGATAACGCTATGCCTGGCGTTTCGCCAAATGATGTGTAATAATAATAATAATAATAATAATAATAAATGATGTGTAATTTAATGATGTAAAAATAGTGTAATGCCCTGGCGACAGACCAGTCCGATTCCTCAGAGGTCTGAAGAACCTTTATTGGAACACAATTGTGGTAACTCCTTCTAAACTCCTTTACTGCTCACACGGCTTCTCCGAAAACTCCTTCCTCTCCTCTCACACTCTATGCACTTTCTCTACCTCATACACACACACGCTCTCACCACACCTCCTCACTCCCCCTCCCATACCAGTAACTGTTAACTAATTCATAACACATGAACAGAACATTATCAACAATCCTCTAAACAAACCTCTAGTCACTAGATGGCAGCATTGCAGCTCATTTTATTGAATTATATTGATGATAAGGGTGTATGTGTACATACATATATGTATACATATATGTATATGTATGCCGAGTGAAGGTGCCAGCAACACAAACAATGGTCTTTAAAGATACATATATAAATATTAATAACGTCACCTCTGCCCCATTACATCAGTATCGGATAATATCGGAATCGGAAATGTAGTGTCTGAACAATAGCGGCATATCGGATATCAGCAAAAATTCATATCGGACATCCCTAGTTAAAACCACTTTTTTTTCTGAGGTTGTGTTACATCATATAGTAAGTGCCTTTGTTAGAAAGTATCTGAATTCCAGTATAGACGAGGTTATAAAAGCCACAAGTTGGTATAGAAATGCAGATTTTCTTTTTGCTGCTTCATCGGAGCATGGAAGTCCATTAAAGCCCCCTGCTCCCAACCAGGTCACCAACTCTTTGAACTGCAGCCATCTGGCAGAGGACACAGAGCTGCATCAGAACAAGCTAACAGATTTAGATTTAGAAACACTTCGTCTTGCCAGAGCCATTGGAATATTTCAGTTATTTGTGAAAATCGATTGGATGAATCACCTGAGTCGCACCTAATTTGATGGATTCTAATCCAGTGGCACATTAAAAGATCTTCTAAAAGTCGTCTTCATTAAGTTGAGGTTTGGTTTCGATGGGACAGTTTATCCAAATCCAGACCCATATTTGCGTACAAACTCTCTTGTTATCGGGACATCAGTGTGATCTCACCTGTGTGTGTCCCATGCTCGCTGCAGCCGTGGCTGCCTGTTGTACGGCCTGTGTTTTCCCAGTCACCGTGTCGTTGCCATTGCGGTCTGCTGGGATTTCTGCCCCCCAGTCCTGGCTCAGCAAGAAGTTGACGATCTCCGCATGGCCTCTCAGCCCGGCGTGGACCAGTGCACATTGGCCATTCTTATCGGCGTGGCCCACCTGCCAGACGTGGGTACACATAAAGACAAAAGTGGACCTGCCTGTTCCCAGAAAACGCTGGCCTAGATGAGACCAAAAAAGAACCTCCAGAACTGTGGAGGGTTGCTGGATACATCACTGGGGTATAGGAGAGTGAGACACAGTGTTCTGCCATGCAAATGGTCCTAATCTTACGCAGCCCTACATGCACAAAAAAGACACTGACCTTGGCTCCTTTCTTGCACAGCAGGCCGATGATGTCGGCGTGTCCTGCAGCCGTGGCCAAGCACAGAGGTGTCATGCCGTTCTCCGTGGTTCCATCTACGGTAGCGCCCATTTCCAGAAGCAAGGCCACCATCTCCAGGTGTCCCAGGTGGGCATGAACTGCCAAAATAGGGGCGCGTCCGACGACCTCAGTGCACCAGGTGACACTCGCTCCACCTAACATCAACAGCCGACTGACCTGTAGAGCAAAGGTAATGAAGTCATTGTCTCTGTGGTTACGATATGACACATTAGTGGTGTTGTGCTCGCTTTTGGATGCTGACCACAAGTAGGTCACCTTGATATTTGGAGTATATAGGTTCCTCAGGGAGGACAGTGCAGCGGACAGGCTCTCTGTGCTGTAGTTTACCCACATAGCCTGCAGAACGCTGGAGGACACACCTGTCTTCTTACTCAAACCCTGGGGGAGTGTGAGAACGACATGGAGTCACAGATGAGTAGAGAGAGAGAGATCAAATGAACCAGAGATGGAGAGAGAGAGAGAGAGAGAGAGAGAGAGAGTGGGAGCCTGCCTTGGATGAGAACTGTGCTCCAGAAAATGAATTGTGTCCCAGGAGAAAAGCACTATGTGCAGAGCGTAAGCCACAAACGCAAACAGTGCAGTACTCGTTCATCTGGGGGTTTGTGTGTGGAGCTATTGCTAATGCGCGTAGGAAATTGTTGAAACAAAGGTTTGGCTTTCTTCAATCTGTGTGTGTTCACATCAGCCTGGTTGACTTTAACTGATCAGATTAGTGTAAACATGGGAGATGATATTCATTGGGGTTCCATTGGTGTGGAACCCCAGGGTTCACCTCCTGGGCAAGTTTGAATCCCAGTTAGGACGGTTGGTACCTTCCAGTGGACTCACCACCCACAGGAAGGTTCAGGGAGGTTGGTACGGTGCAGTGTGATTTGGGTGGAGACTGTTGCCCCCGTGACCCAATAAGCAGATGAAAATTGATTGATTGATGGATGGATGGATGGAGCTGCTATTGAAAAGACCAGACCAAATTAATGTACCATTCAACATTCAAATATATTTAGTAATATAAACTGAACATTATATGTTTGGGTACTGATTAAATGTATGCAGCTGTAATGACAGTTCCCTTGAGAGTAGTGTATGTACATGGTACACACAAAGTCAGTATCAAGTCACCTTAAAGATGTGAGCCTTCAGGATGTGGTGGCCCAGTTCCATAGTCTGCTGCCGGTTGAGTTTTCCATCCTGTCTGGAGAACATGAAGGCCAGGAAAGCATGGCCGCTCCTGCAGACACGCACAGAGACATATATATATTTACTTGATACATATTGAGTTTCCGCAACATCTGCCAACGTCTGACTCCTGAGAATTCATTTTCAGTTTCCACAATATCTGCCAACGTCTGACTCCTGAGAATTACCTGGGATCACAGAGGAAGTCTGTACTTTCTCCATCTGCTCTCCAGACCAGCCACTCTCTGAAAGAAGGATGGCAGAGCATGCGGGTGCCGTCCCTCCGTTTGACCTGTGGGTACGGAGGACAGATCGGCCACATACGTGTGCTAAAGTAAAACATTGAATTCACCGAGGCCCCCCCACAACCAAACTAGGAGAGTCTTACCATGAATCCAGCCAGAGTCTCTAATCTCTGCTGGAAGTCGTTCCACTCCAGCTCTCCCCTCACGCTGCCTGCATTGAGTGCCCTGAACATTTGTTCATCAGTCAGTGGGTGCAGAGAAGCCAGAGCCACATTTAGCACCGGCAGTATCCGTTCAAAGAGCTCTTTATCGGGGAAGCTCACGCGACACATCAGCAGGTAGACCTAGAAAATACCCATGGATGATGAGCATTTCACTTTAGATGTTGTCTAAATATTTGTTACCTGTAAAGTATTGACTTTAATGTTCAAGTACACAGTACTTGTCTTGTATGTTACTCCACAGTCTTATCAGGAGTCAAACCACAGACCTTCTGGATGTGAGTCATCAGTCCCACATCACCGTCTTCCACACATGATCAGTTCTTACATATAAGAGGTTGCCTTGTGCTAATAAAAATAGAATAGAGTCAGCGCGGGCTTATAATTATCCCCATCCTTCCAGTCTGATGTGTCACATCTCAGGTACTGTCACGCTTTGTTCTATACAGTGAAGCGTCCCGATTCTGGATCTTTAATCACGTATAAAAGGCAATGCTTGTAGAGAAAAAGGAAAAAAAAAATGCAGATTTTAATCTAATTCATTGCTTTTGCTTGCTTTTATCAAGAGTAAAGGTGTTTATTGATGTAACTTTTTTTAACACATCTGCGTTGGTCCTTTAATAAATTGCAGTTTAGACCAAACGGCTTAAGCAGAGGTTCTCAACCCCTGGTCCGGGGACCGGTGTTGGTCCCTAGGTCATTTGGTATCGGGCCGCAGTGGGACACTGCAAAAATGTGTTTTAGATTTCCTAATTTACTTCATTCAATCCAGTCATACTAATTTACTTCATTCAATCCGGTCATATCCCTTTATTTTTTTTATTAAAAGATAATCTGATAATGTATCAAAATGATTCAGACTCTGATACTAACAGAATAAAGTCTAAAAGATGTTTGATTTAGAAAATTGAATGATCCTTCAACAAGGGTGTGGTATTAGCTGTCTGCAGTAATGGCTGATACTGGCCGACAGGTCCTTGGTACAGAAAAGGTTTAACTAATCATGTAATTATGTGATTGGAGACTATCTACCATTTGGTCAAATTTTGAATTTTTTTTTTTCTTCATTTTTGTGCAGAAATAAACCCATTATCCATTCAAAGGAACCATATCTGACTGCATAGGTGTTAATAGGTAGACTGACCTCTGACAGGGAGACAGGCACTACTAGATAGTTCCCTCCTTTTATAGCCAGGTGACCCTTATGGAACAGGTCCAGAATGAGCTGAAGGTAGAGGACGGAGCCGTGGCTGCGCGTCGAGAGATGGCTGCTGAACTTGCTGAGGAGCAGCGGGTCAGGGGCGGAGCCTGTAGGTGTGGTGACGTTGGCTGCAACCTGGGTACTGCTGCTGACCCGGTGATGGATGTAGTCACTGAGGTCAGCCCCGAGGTCACTGCTGTCGGGTAGAATGTCCAGGGAGATGCCAGAGAAGGGAAGGAGGGTCGTGATTTCCTGTTGGGAAACGGAACTCAAGATTCAGTCGTTTATCTTTAATTTTTATTTATTTAAACAGGTGTTTTTTTTTAAAGAAGACTTGAAACATTTATATGAAAAAAAAGGAAAAAAAGCGAACCAAATGTAAAACGATTAGTCAGCACTGCCATGGAAAACAAAATTCTCATTAATTCCATCCGAACTCCAACTTTGTTTTCGTGCATTAAAAATTAGTTTAGAGAATGTTGTAATTATAACAATAAATATACATAGGATAAATCCAGTGTGCGCCAGTGAATCTTAGAGTGCAGTGGAGCGTGGTGAGTGTTTGCTCTCCAGTTTTTGAAATTGTTTTTCTTATTATTACCAGCAGTTAAGTTGATGCAGGGGAAACAATGGTTTTTTTTTTCTCAATTTAGTGTTCCTATTTCAAGAAACCTCTCTGTTCCCTTTTATATTGGCTTTAAAGATTAATGGTGGTGAATTTGTTTTAGACTTTGTCCACCTTAAACAGCAGGCCAGCACCAAAGGTTTATGAAGAAGAGGATGTCCAAGAAAGAACTGTGGCCAAAAGTTAATATCGATATTAGCATAATTATGTAATATCTGTGAGAATCGCTATGGGTTGTTCCTCCAATATTAAAACCCGATAGCAATGCCTGGGTTTCGCCAATGATCTCTGACCTATAATTTGTTTTGGGGGGAAAAAAAACGACTGCATGTGACGGTGAAAGTGAATTATAGTCGCTGATGCACAGGACACCACTGCACACGATGAAATGTGTCCTCTGCCTTTAACCCATCTCCTTAGTGAGCAGGCGGCACTTAACCTCCGTAACCACTAGGCCGTCACTGCCCCGCTAAATCAGTATGGGTTGATATGGGAATCAGAAACTAAGTGTTTAGACAATGTCAGCATATCAGATATCGACTGAAAGTTTATATCGAACATCCCAAGACAACTGAAGTTGAAATTTCATGAAAAACGTCTTTTAATGATTTTAAAAATTGCCTTAAAATTGACTACTTATTAAGGGCAGTGTTTCTCAACTGGTGGGTCGGGAGCCAAAACTGGATCACAGACTAGTTTTCAGTGGGTTGCAGGCCTTTGTCAAGTCAAAAAAACAGGTTGAAAAAAAGCAGTTTTCCCTATTTACAGTAGGTAGTGACAATACCCCTGTAAGTTGAGTTCGGATTTTCTAATGTGTAATACTACACCTGAGTACATAGTATGTATCTTACTTCATTATGCTGGAAGCATACTGTGACATTTGTGATATTTTTATTTCATAAATCTGAGAATTTTAACATTCTTTTTGATTCTGGTCCAAGCTTGTTCCTCATTGGTGATGATGGGCCCTGAAGCTACACCAGTTCAGGACCATTGATTCAGAGCTGGTCCAAAGCAAAACCAATGTACTGACATGGCAAATGAACCACTTCCATATCAAATCTGCTTCTTTAGATTATGGTAGAAAAATCTCCACACGAGGAAAAAAGATATTTGAATTCTTTCCGCTCGAAGGTCGACATCTAAGCCAGAATACAAAACATACCAAATATATAACCCAGTGTAAGGCCACAGCTCGCTGAAGCGCAATGATTTAGTGGCGACTAATAAAATTAACAACACACCAGCCCAAAGTCATCGTTATTAAAAATGTATAGCACCCATTTTTGGAGCATCGGCGAGGGACACATTAAAAGCGAGGCCAAACCTGGACGGATTTCTCAGACACACTGACTCACACAGTACCAGGAGATACAGTACAGTAAATGGTGTGACAATGACTCAAGCCTCTACAGTGCCCACAGGCGTCTCTCATTTCATCCTTTCACCTCTCCTAGATTTGTCGCTGCTCTCCACAGGCCAAAACCAGCGATGGTAAGTCCCATTATGAAAGACATTCATTATTTTTAAATCACCGAGCAGTGTCATCACAGATTAAAGAAATGTTTTAGATTAGATCACTTAGTTATACTTTTGACAACATTAAGGTCAAAGACAGTGACCGGGATTCATTTACCGCATCAGTTAAGGACGGCAGACTTTCTTACATGCAGTGACATTTAACATCTATAATTTGGTCAAACCCTTCAGCCCAAGCAAAGACGTTTTTGTATTTATTGGACATTTTAATGTTTTCTATCATTCTCCTAAACAGTAATACCTGCAGCTGCCTCTGGGCCGAAGAACTTGATTTGAGATTCAGCATTAAGTTGATGTCTGACTTCCTCTTCCATGCATTCAATTCAGTAAGTATTTTAAATATAGTGACATGAAGTAGCCCAAGGCACACCTGGCTTTGTCCACCGAGCACCATTGCTGTTTCTAATGCATTAGAAATACAGAACATTTTGAAGAATTTTAAGGATTGCACTGCATTGGAACTGCTTATATGGTTAACTGTTTATTTAACTACTAAACTATTTATACTGCTTATATATTTAACATGTTTATGTACTTGTTCACGTAACATCCAGCCTTATAATTATACTAATTCTGCTTATAAATGCATATAAATACCATAGAGATAATGTGGTATACTTAGTATACATGGATACTGTACATATATAATACTAATTTAATTTAGAATAACAA